GCTAAGAAGCGCCGGGCTAAGAAGCTCCGGGCTAAGAAGCGCCGGGCTAAGAAGCTCCGGGCTAAGAAGCTCCGGGCTAAGAAGCTCCGGGCTAAGAAGCGCCGGGTTAAGAAGCTCCAGGCTAAGAAGCTCCGGGCTAAGAAGCTCCGGGCTAAGAAGCTCCGGGCTAAGAAGCTCCGGGCTAAGAAGCTCCGAGCTAAGAAGCGCCGGGCTAAGAAGCTCCGGGCTAAGAAGCTCCGGGCTAAGAAGCTCCGGGCTAAGAAGCTCCGGGCTAAGAAGCTCCGGGCTAAGAAGCGCCGGGCTAAGAAGCTCCGGGCTAAGAAGCTCCGGGCTAAGAAGCTCCGGGCTAAGAAGCGCCGGGCTAAGAAGCTCCGGGCTAAGAAGCTCCAGACTAAGAAGCGCCGGGCTAAGAAGCGCCAGGCCCTAGTGCAGGGGTCCTCAAACTACGACCCGCGGGCCACATGCGGCCCACCGAGGGCATTTATCCGGCCCATGGTCATTAATTGGGCTGCGCTTGTGAGCACTAATTGGGATGCGCTGGTGAGCACTCATTGGGCTGCGGTGGTGGGCACTGATTGGGCTGCGGTGGTGGGCACTGATTGAGCTGCGTCGGTGGGCAATGATTGAGCTGCGGCGGTGGGCACTCATTGGGCTGCGCTGGTGAATGGTTCAATGGGCCAATTGACTGGACTTGCCCCCCAGGCCTAAGGCTGCCAGCTCTCCCCTGGCTGCGCTTGACTGGCTCTCCCTCCCTCAGCTCCCTCACTTGCCCCTCGGCTCCACTCCCAGTGATATTCCCGTGTGCTGAGTAAATGATAGAGGGGTAATAACAGAGTGATCTCTGATCTCTGGAGGCGCTGCCTGCTGTTTTCCCGTGCTGGTCAGTGACAGACAGCCGAGGAGTAGGAAACCCAATTTAAATGACAGTAAGTGCATTTATATTCTGATTGCTATTCAATTATATGAGGTTATATGTTGTATGTTGTGTAAGCGCCGGTTCATACTGTTGCGATCTCTGAGCAGTGCGAGTTCAGCCATATGCTTGTATGGCTGAACTTGCATTAGATTCGGAAGAAAAAAGGCACATGTGCCTTCTTTTTTCCTGCAGTGGAATCGGATCGCATGGGTCTTCTCCCCCATGCGATCAGATTCCTATGCGAGTTCGCAGATCGCACTGCGATCTGTGAACCAAACTGCAGGTGTAATTAACTTTTTAATGGCACCCGCACCAGTGTGAGCTTGGGGTAAAAGCGGAGTTCCCCCAATCAGACTGCATTGATGGGCAGTGCAGTCTGTATGTCTCTGTGTGGGCAAAGTTATTGCTGGTATATTGTTTTTGTAGCACTGTATATATATTGGTATTTTACTAATAGCAATTTTGACTCCCTAGGAAACAATGATGTCAAGAAAGATAAAAATTGACTCGGTGTAGGATATTCAAAAAACAGTGGACTTCTCATTACTTTTTCATGCAGTACAAGGAAAGATTTGTGTGTCTGATATGCCAGAATATAGTGTCTGTGTTCACAGAATACATTTTACGTCGACACTATAAAACTCAACGTAAAGATAAATATGATTGTTTGGTCGGAGAAGTGAGAAAAGATAAAATATTAAAACTGAAAAATGCATTAACAACTCAGCAAAATACTTTTGTGAAGCAGAAGCAGCTAAATATTTCATCACTGCGAGCAAGTTTTCAAGTTGCCAAGCTAATAGTGTGCACTGGCAGACCATTCGTTGAGGGAGAATTTGTTAAAGAATGCCTTCTTTCTGTTGCCAAAGAGATGTGTCCAGAGAAGGCCGATTTATTTAGTACAGTGAGTCTTTCAGGACCTACAATTACACGGAGGATTGAAGAAATGGGAGACAATTTCCATCAGCATTTGCAAAACTCCGCAAAAAAACTTTCCTATTTTTCCTTGGCACTCGACGAAAGCAATGATGTTCGTGATTCTGCACAACTTCTGATTTTTATTCGTGGGACGAATGACTATTTCGAAGTCACAGAAGAGCTTGCTGCACTGCAAAGCATCAAAGGAACAACTACAGGAGAGGATTTCTATGAAAAGGTTTGCCAAACTGTGAATGGTTTGGAGCTGAACTGGGCTAAACTAGCCAGTGTGACAACTGATGGTGCTCCTAGCATGGTGGGGTCTAAGAAAGGAGTAATTGCTCGCATTAACCAAGAGATGGACAAACATAACCATTCTCATCCAATAGCCATACACTGCCTCATCCACCAACAAGCGCTGTGTAGTAAATCACTGAAGTGGGACTCTGTTAACTTCATTAGAGCTCATGCACTAAACCACAGACAATTTCAGGAATTTCTGTCTGAGCTAAATGTTGACTATGAAGATGTTCTGTACCACACAGAAGTCCGTTGGCTGAGTCGAGGGAGAGTTTGAAACGTTTCTATGACTTACTTCCACAGATTACAGATTTTCTGCTTTCAAAAAACAAAGAAGTACCAGAGCTCAATGATGCAGAATGGAAATGGCACCTTGCCTTTCTGACAGATGTAACAGAGCTACTCAACAGTTTCAATGTGCAACTTCAAGGAAAGGGGAAGCTCATATGTGATATGCAATCACATGTCAAAGCATTTGAAGTAAAATTAGGCCTCCTCATCAAACAAGTGAAGGAGGAAAACTTCTGCCATCTCCCCACAACTCAAAATCTGTTAGCGGTAAAACCATTGGTTGCATTCCCAAACAAAACATGTGTGGATTCACTGGAAAAATTGCAAAAGGAGTTCCAATTTAGATTTAAAGAGCTTCATCTCCATGAACAGGACATACAGCTTTTCCGTAACCCATTTTCTATTGACATTGAAAATGTGGATACAATTTACCAAATGGAACTGGCTGAAGTGCAGAATTGTGACTCTCTGAAAGACGCATTCAAGTCAAGCAGCCTTCATAATTTCTATGCATTTCTCCCCTCTGAGACATATCCTCATCTCAGGAACAATGCACTCAAAATGGCAACCATCTTTGGCAGCGCTTATGTCTGTGAACAAACTTTTTCCAGAAGAAAACATTTGAAATCTCCAACCAGATCTAGACTAACGGATGCACACTTGCATCACTTGTTACGACTAGCAGTGACAAATATGGAACCGGACATTGACCATCTCATTAGCTAAAAGCAGGCCCATAGTTCCCATTGAAATACTGGCAAGTTTGTTGATTTAACTTTACTGTTCTTCATTTTAAATATTGTATTTGTTCCCGTTTTGTTTCTTCACTTCAAAATAAGATATATGCAGTGTGCATAGGAATTTGTTCATAGTTTTTTTTAACTATAGTCCGGCCCTCCAACGGTCTGAGGGACAGTGAACTGGCCCCCAGTTTAAAACGTTTGAGGACCCCTGCCCTAGTGGGTTCAACGTTGCGGTTCGTAGTTTGCATCGCACGACCAAAATTGTGCAACTGCTCTGGGTTTGTCTTTTTAATTTAATGTCACTGATTAAAGTAGTGATTTAAACAAAAAATGTTTGCCTGGATTATTGAGAGCGTGATAATTATATTACGTAATCATTTCCGTGGCTCTCAGCTGATTATCGCATAGCTAACGGCACTTTCGTTATGAGTGTCATGGGTTTTAAAATTGCAATGATTAGAAAACTTTTAAAATACCTCTATTCGTACTGGAATTGAAATACATTTGCTAAATTATATCACGAAAAATCACATCCCTAATTGTAGTCAAGGGTTTTCTTTACACGTAATCGCCATTTGCCTTTATAAACAGATTGCAGTAGGCCTACTTAATTTACTTAAATTTTTACCAAAAGAGTATTGCAATCATTATTTTTAGAGATACAGCCGTGCGATGTGATAATAACCTATATTTAACTTATATCTTAAAAAGAGGACCATTTTTATTTTGCGATAATGATTTGCAATAAAAAAAATTGCTCATCTGTCATTGTTTATTCTTGATTTATTTTTACTGTGACGCGTCGCGTATGTCAGAGAAGCGACCGGTGTTGTTGTTTTATGTCAATGAACCCCGATTTAGGAGCTTCTTGGCTCACGGGGTCATTCAAAATAAACACTACGTCATCGGCCAATTGTTTCAGTTATGCAACAGCAAAATCTATTCCAAAGACCCGTGCCACTCTTTGCGACTCGATGTTTAAGGTTCGGGCTCACAACAGTTACAAGCAACAAGTGTGGTGGTGCAGTGCGTCGTGCCCACCTGGGTCTGTCCATGACTCGTCAGGACACTCTGTGAGAGAGACAAAGAGGGAGAGAGATAACGAAGCACACAGGCGCAGTGGGTTACAAACGTATGTCGAACTTCTTTCGCACCGTACATAGCCGACCGTGCTAGTCAGAGGCGCGGGGAAAGACCAACAAACTAAACACAACAACATCAACAAGCAGTTTCAAAAAAATGTGTCAATCGAGATGATTTAAAAGTGGCACAGCTCCAATGGCTTCCTAATGTCGGAGGGAGAGTTCCAGACAGCCGCTAGAAGCGCCCCTGAAAGCGTCGCGCGCGACGACGATGATGATGCGGTGACTGATGGTTCAATGGCCAGCAGCCGTCGCTCCTGCTGCTGCTAGCGAGGGTCACAGCAAATCCCAAAACTTCGCGGAGCCTCCGGGGGGGGGGGTCAACCCCACCCATTGGCTGCGCATCGCCAGGTTTAGTGCCATCTCGGACTCACCACGGGCCAATAGCCAAAGCAGCTCGATTGGTTTAAACATTAAAATTACATTTCACGCGATTCACTCCGTGCAAGAAAACAAGCGGTGTGGGTAGCGGCGTGGGGTCACACAGCCGGCGCAGGTTGTCGGTGGCGCGCCGGTTCCGGCTGGCTTCCCAAGTGCACCTCAAAGTGCACCTAGCCTGGCACAGGCGCCGTGGGGACGTCACCGTCACTTCGTGGAGGCTGTTAGTATTGGCTGCCTTCCCGCTCGTCGCCACAAACTCTGCGTGACTCACAAATTCTGCGGTGCTTTGATCATCAGTATCCATGAGCGATGGTCACATTAAATAACAATTATTATTATTACTACTACGTGTTTGGGATGTTTTGATTAGCCTTAATTTGCAAAGTGAAATGTGAGCACAGTGTTCCCTCGTGGTTCACGAACTTGCTATCCGCGATTTTGGCATCGAGAAAGATAGAAAGTGATGCGATATAAAACGATGATGGAGAATGTGATGAGATGGCGTAGACACCTCTCCCCCCCACCCCCCGAGGAAACTCACCGCATCCTTCGAGCACAGAGACGTCATCCACTGCCACGTCCCCATGCCACGTGAGACCTCGAACCCCTTCGAGCACCAACTGTGAAAAACACAGCATAAGCAGGAGCAGCAGGGGCACAGGGGCACAGGGGCAGCAGGAGCAGCGGGTACAGCAGGAGCAGCAGGAGCACAGGGGCACAGGGGCAGCAGGAGCAGCGGGTACAGCAGGAGCAGCAGGAGCAGCAGCAGCGGGGGCACAAGGGCAGCAGCAGCAGGAGCAGCAGCAGGAGCAGCAGCAGCAGCAGGAGCAGCATGAGCAGCAGCAGGGGCACAAGGGCAGCAGCAGGAGCAGCATGAGCAGCAGGAGCAGCATCAGCAGCAGGAGCAGCATGAGCAGCAGCAGCATGAGCAGCAGCAGCAGGAGCAGCAGCAGGAGCAGCAGCAGCAGCAGGAGCAGCAACAGCAGGAATATCAGCAGCAGGAGCAGCATCAGCAGCAGGAATATCAGCAGCAGGAGCAGCAGGAGCAGCAGCAGCAACAGCAGCAGGAGCAGCAGCAGCAGGAGCAGCAGCAGCAGGAGCAGCAGCAGCAGCAGGAGCAGCAGGAGCAGCAGCAGCAGGAGCAGCATGAGCAGCAGCAGGAACAGAAGCAGGATCAGCAGCAGCAGGAGCAGCATGAGCAGCAGGAGCAGCAGCAGCAGGAGCAGCAGGAGCAGCAGACGCGTCGTCAAGGGGGGTCATTTGCAGGGCGAGGGATGGGGCAGTGGCGGACCAATGCGTGGCCGTTTTTGTCGTCCCGGTTTCCACCAAAGTCGAAGGGTTGCGAGCCACGCGGCCGTCCCAAGAGCAGCGGGGAGGCGGTGAAACGAGGACGCGGCCGTAGACTGGTTTCGTCCTCGGGGCTCATTAAACTGTCAACCCCTTATCAGTGCCTTAACTTGTTACAGACCAATTCAGACCTTATTGGCCCCTTATACATCTCAACGTTCATCCTACAAAATCCCATCACAAGGTAGACACACAAATAGACAAAGCAAAATGTGAGGTATTGAAACAATAATTACGGGGTACTCCGTATGGGTTGACAGCAATGGGGGCTCGTCGATGCAGTCGTCAATGTTCGCTGCCGCAATCGGCCTCTGACGAGTCCTAATGAGGATACAGGTAACACGAAGCGTAGTGCCTTGCGCTATCAACCTGGCCACCCGAGTTCGATTCCCGCTCACGGCCAACACCGGTGATGATTATCTGAACCGGTCCTGGGCCTCCCCTAGGTCGACTCAGCCTCAAATGAGTACCTGGCGGGGTGTGTAAACATCGCGACTGGGGAGACAAAGGCGGCCGGGCGTGGCGCTACTTGTTCCGGCCTTCATGGGCGCTACTAGCTAGCAGCACTTTTCCCCAAACAGTCTGTTAGGGCTACACGTGCGGTGGAGGGGGGAGATTATTTTTAGTCTCTGGTGATTCCATCAGAGCAGCGGAATGGTGCCGTACCGAGGTGACCTCCACCGTGGCCTGCAGGGTCACCGATCCCCGCTTCCAGGCATCTCCCTGGGGGCCCCGGCGGGACCACACGAGCGACTCGCCGGGGCCCGCCTTGGCGTACACGTTGAGGGCCATGCCGGCGTCCTCGCTCCTCATGAGGTACCAGAAGCGGAGGCACGCCGGCCGCGGCCAGCGCGCCGCGGGGCTCTGCAGCCGCGCCGTCTGCGCCTCGATGAAGTTGTGAGCCTCCAGGTAGATGTAGCAGCCGGCTGAGGGCGGGGCAGGCAAAGACAAAGACACCCCGTGTAGCCTTCACATACTGTGGGGGCAAGTGCTGTTAGCGAAGAGCACCTGTGAAGGCCGGGACGGTACACGAGGGGGTGGGTGGCCAGCACCACGCCCGACCGCCTTTGTCTCCTCAGTGGCGATGTTTACACACCGCACAAGGTACTCATTTGAGGCTGAGTCGACCTAGGGGAGGCCAGGGACCGGTTCAGATAATCTGTGAGCGGGCGCTACACCACCGCACCCCACAAGACAAGCTGCAGCAGCCGTCTGAGGGCGGGACAGACACACGCGCGTGGGATGTTAACTGCCTGTGGCGTTGATATCCTAAAGCTTTGGGGACCTTTTTGCCAACATCAAAATATAAAAATAAGTGTTACCCTCTTTGGCAATAACACAGGAGGTGTCAAGATGTTCAAACTCCGAACAGAAACCTTTTGCAAGGAATCATGTACTGCATTAACCACACATGCTTGTGGTGAACATGCAAACAACAAACATGCTCTGGTAGTATATGCTGCATTGTCTTTGAAACGGATTGGTCCACATTCATTATTTAGACTGAAGGAATCCGATGAGCTATGAAGCTCTTTCTCACAGATGTCCAGTAGGGGCACGAGTTCCGAATATTACAACAACGAGCAATACAAAAATAACGATGCAAGTGCAAAGTACAAATAAGGTAAACAAATTACCCGAACACAAACAAATACAACACTAAACCATCTCTATTCTACCAGGCAAAGCCCACTGAGGTATTAACGTCATTTTAAGAAGCGACCTGACCAAAAATGATAGCTCAACAAAGTGGCTTATGAAGTGGACATTTTATAGCAGCCCACTATTCTAAACGCGTGGTGATGTTGATTATAAATGTAAAGGGAAAAATCGGAGGACCTGGAGAAAAATCCACGCGACCACGGGGAGAGAGAGAGAGAGACACCACAAACTTCCAATATACAGCTGGCGTCAGGGTCAGGTTCAGGATCAGGATCGAACCCACGACCACCTGTATACCAGGCGAGAGGAGTTAGCATCTCGCCATCGCGGCGCCCGCTAGACCAAATACTCTCCAGAGCTCCTTCTATTGAAGGCCTCGTCCGCCAGCAGATGGCGCGAGCGAGCAGTTGCACGGGTTGCGACTGCAGACATTTCTAAGCGCATGTCTAAGGATTGTGGGTTGCTAAATGATAAATGCTTGGGGTTCGTAAATGTTGGCTCGGAAATTATCCAAGAACTGTTAGTTAATTTGTTGTTGTATCACATTCTTGCTGCCGGCGACCTCCCGCTTGACTCCTATGGGTCAAATTTCGATTTAAAGTTTTCGTGACTGCAGGGATTCATCTTCTTGGTTCTTTCGGTAAAGTCACGTAGAAGGGAAGTAATAAAATAATAAAAATAAAACATAATAAAATAAAATAATTCTCACGACGTTTCGGCTACAACGCAAGCAGCCGTCTTCAGGTGAAGAATGAGACACTACCAAGCTAGGAGCTTATATATAAGCTGAGTTGGAGGTGGAAGAAGAAGAGAGCCTTGATATGCACATTCTTTTGTTAAGGCTCTCTTCTTCTTCCACCTCCAACTCAGCTTATATATAAGCTCCTAGCTTGGCAGTGTCTCATTCTTCACCTGAAGACGGCTGCTTGCGTTGTAGACGAAACGTCGTGAGAATTATTTTATTTTATTATGTTTTATTTTGATTATTTTATTACTTCCCTTCTACGTGACTTTACCGAAAGAACCAAGAAGATCCTATGGGTCACTCAAGAAAGGCGCATTTGCTCGCTTCAACAAAATAAACTAGCAAAGTCCACTCTTCCAGCCTGGCTGTGATATTCAACCGCAAACACTTCCGTGTCACCGTTTACCGATAACAACGAGTCGGTCATGCTATTATTACTATGGTGTTCAGAGTCCAGGACTGATTGAAACTACATCTGGGTAGAAGAGTGAAAGAACAAATCAATTTGTTGAACGAGAACCACGATTCCGTGCGTAATTTCCCAAAGTTCTCTCCCCAATTACGGCCATTTCACTTATACCGGCACTTTCAAAGTAGATTGTTTTACTGTCTAATGTGGCACCAGGCATAGCAATAACATCTAGAGCCCTCCACGCGACGTTTTCTCGGACGCCGTGCCAGCGATTTTAGAATCGATCCGTGGAGAGATTCGGTCCACTCATTTCTGCACCAATTCCGGAGATTGAATCTCGCCCGCGTGGAACACCGGGTGTCATCTCGTTGTGTCTGCACGCGTGCGCGTTGTCTGCACGCGTGCGCGTTGTCAGCACGCGTGCGCTGTATCTGGCTACCCCCAGTTTCCTTCTGCGAAGCAAAGACTGATCGTCAATGATGAGCCCCCGAAGCGCGAAACCAAGGCAGAGTTTGACCATTAAAACGAATGAAACTAAAACTAAATTATGTTTTATACTAGGTGTAAGGCCAACTGAGCTATGTGGCTCTTTTTTGGAAGCGACCTGGCCATCACAAATGATAGCCCAATGAAGTTGATTGTTGCGTGGAAATGTATGGCAGCAGCCAAATACTCTAAACGCGTGTTTCTCAATGTGGTGAGGAAAACCAGAGGACCCGGAGAAAAATCCACTCGACCACGGGGAGAACATGCAAGCTGCAATTATACAGGTATCAGGGGTTGGGATCAAACCCACGACGTCCTGTATACCAGGTGAGGTAGTTAAACTAATAAAGTTTTTTTTTATTTGACCAGGTATGTCAGAAGTGACCTAGCCACAAAAGATAGCCCAACGAAGTGGCTTATCACGGGGAAACTTACTCTTAAACACTGCATGGGTAACACCTCTGGAAGGGTTCAATGAACTCAAATCTATTTAACGTGGCGGTACTAAACGGAAGGAGCGATTGATGTGACCTAACACCCATAAGAGTATTACTGTCCTTGTCACAAAAGCAACGTTTGTGGGGAATGATAGCCATTTTATATACATTTTAGGCATAAGCAATTACGAAATAACACTTACTACCCAGGATCAAAAATTGTGTTACATCGTGTTATTTATTGCAGCATGCGTGTTCGCCCAGGAAAGCCTCATTAGGTCTGAAGGCCTCTCTTTAAAGAGGTGTCCTGACAGTATTTTAGCCGTATGCGGCGACTAATCTCAACTGAGTAATTCTCGCCGAATGTTTCAGCACTGGCGATGCTTATCACATACCAGTTCGATAGCACGAGCAATTTTATTTTTTTGCCTATTGGAGAACCTGGACGAAACCGATGAAGAACAGACTCATTGTAGAAACCAGTGGAAAAATAAATGGTTCATTGTTAATAAAAAAAATCATCATCACATCACCATGATCCATGGGGCAGATCGCCCTTAGTAGGTGTCCATCTGCACGTTTATGTCATTTTCTTGTCAACACATTCCTCTCCGTCTTGTAGTGCCAGTGTGGCTCAAGCAGTGGACACATCTTCCTGGCACCAATCTCTGATGATGTCGTCATCATTATTCAGCCATTTTCTGTTAGGACTTCCTCTCTTTCCGGTCCCTTCCATTTTTTCGAACAGCACACTTTTAATTGAACCTGTTGTTATATTATTCAATGTCAGTATTAACAATTATTCAATATTATTGACATTATTAGTACCAATAATAATAGAATATAACAATATTTAGTTCATGCCAAAGCCACAGCAGGTTTCACGCATGAGCACTTTAACATGCCAGCTAAAGTGACCAATATTATCCATAATATAGGTTTTTTGGAGTTATATTGAAACAGGAGAAGGATTTCTCCACAACTCTGGCTGCCCCCTGACGAGGATGGTTGTTGTAATTCCTGGCGAAACGTCACGGTACTCGAGTGGTAAATTGTGTTGTGGGTTTACTCTCCAACACACAACCGGTGTGCTGTACAAGTTTAGTGGTATAGTGCTGGCTGCTGGCGAAAAGTGGAACTGTGTTCTACTGCAGTATTGAAGTCAGTAGGCCATGATAGACACGAGAGGGAGACATCTAGGGGAAAGGTCACAGAGGGGGGCCCATCGGGAAGCCTCGGGAACCCGCTAGCATGTTCCAGAGAGGGGGCGTGGCCGGGGCGGAGCGAGGCCACGCTGAGAGTACAAGAGGGGCCCCAGTGAGGGACCTCGTGGCTGTCGCTGGAGTGGGATCCTCGTCGTGCTGTTCAAGATCGTCGCCATCATCGCTGTCATCTCGTCGCCATTGTCCCTGTCATCTTCACTCGATATTGTGCTGCCAGATAGTTGTTGGCTGTCTCGGTTCAGTGCCGTCAGTCTTAGACGGTTAGTGTTTTGTATAGGCTAGCAACCAACGTAGAGTTGTTTATAGGTGAGTGACTGTTGATTTTGTACCCACGTAGGGTGTGTATAATCCGATGGTGCTCGTTAAATAAAAGAAGTACCTCCAAGTCTTATCGTCTCCGAGTTAGTCACTACACTAGTGTAATGGGTTCAACTGAGTCGCAGACGTAGACTTGGAGGCAACACATTTTATTCAGTTCCAACATACGGGCGAACTTCCCCTTAGTTACTACGTAACTGTTACGAGGGACCGGGACCAACGACTTCGGGCCGGGTCCACGTGTTGGAGACTCGTTGAATGGAGATCGCAGACGAAGGGTTTCTTCCAGGATGAATAACAACCCTGGTATCTCTCGGGACCCGGCTTATATTCTCTGTGGCATGGCCACGTCCACCTTCCAGAATCCTCGGGAAGGATCTGGGTCCCAATCACGTGACCCCCCTAGCCCCCTCTTGGGGCCCCTGTCAACTTAATCGGTCACGTGTACTCCCGGGTCAACCAGAGTGCCATGGCCTCACACAATCTTATCCTTCGGTCGGCACCCACACACCCTGACCCATAGGGCTGGCACTGCACTTACAGCGTGGTGCCATCCAGCGCTATTATTCAGCGCGCACCGTGCCCCTCTAGGGCCGGTACTGCACCCACAGCATGGTGACATCCAGCGATGTCACGACACTAGTAAAGAATTGGCACGTTTTGTTTACGAGACACAACCTTACCAATTGACTGTGTCGGGTGGTGGAAGGTTTAAGGACACATATTTACTTTAAAAAACTTAACCCATTTTTATTCTACCAGGCAAGGCCCACTGAGCGGTACAGCTCTTTTTTGCAGAAGCAACCTGCCCACAAATGATAGCCCAACGAAGTGACATATCAAGTGGAAATGTATTGCACCCAAATACTCAAAACGCGTGATATTGATTCTAAATGTGGAGAGAGAGAGACACACAAACTCCAAATATCCAGCAGGCATCAGGGTCGGTATCAAACCCACGACCTCCTGAATACCAGGCGACGGAATTAACATATCCTAGCCAAAGTGATGATGATGATGAGAGATAAACGCAAATCTTAAATATACAGCAGGCGTCAGAGTCTGGATCGAACCCACCACCTCCTTCATACCACGTGAGGTATTTAACATCTCCTAACCACAGTGATGATGATGATGAGGGGGAGACACACAAACTGCAAATATACAGCAGGCGTCAGGCTCGGGATCGGACCCACCACCTCCTTCATACCACGTGAGGTATTTAACATCTCCTAACCACGGTGATGATGATGCTGATGAGAGAGACACACAAACTCCAAATATACAGCAGGAGTCAGGGTCGGGTTCGAACCCACGACCTCGTGCATACCACGCGAGGTAAGTTAACATCTCCTAGCCACAGTGATGATGTTGATGAGAGAGAGACACACAAACTCCAAATATACAGCAGAAGTCAGGGTCGGGATCGAACCCACGACTTCCTGCATACCAGAGGAGGTAGTTAACATCTCCTTGCCACAGTGATGATGTTGATGAGAGAGAGAGACGCAAACTCCAAATATACAGCAAGCGTCAGGATCGGGATCGAACCCACGCCCTCCTGCACACCAGGCGAGGTAGTTAACATCTCATAGCCACAGTGATGATGATGAGAGAGAGACACGTAAACTGCAAATGTCTAAAACCCAATCCCCCCCCTCCCCGTCGACTATAACGATTGAGCGCTGTTCACGCCGTCATTCTTACTCTGTTCGCCCCCCCCACCCCCCATCGCGCGTTCCACTCACTTCCCGTGGTGTGGTCTCCGCTGGGCCCCGAACTCGCGGTTGGAGTGGGCCCGCTGGTCCGGATCCACTCGCCGTCGTCCCCCTCACACAGCTGCTTCCATTCGCAGAAGGGGTCGCTGTGGTCGTCGAAGTCGCAGGAGACGGAGGTCACTGCGGGGACACACGGAGCGGTGGGGAGAACCGTTCCCAGCGTCACCGTCGCTGCTCAGCGATCTACCTCCAGCGATGGGGGTTCTCGCCGCGTCCGGAATTAGCGGCCCTCGCCGTCTTTGCAAACCGAAATAAAACGACATTTGGGCAATTTCGATTTAAAGCTTTCGTGACTGCAGGGATTCATCTTCTTGGTTCTTTCGGTAAAGTCACGTAGAAGGGAAGTAATACAATAATACAAATAAAACATAATAAAATAATTCTCACGACGTTTCGGCCACAACGCAAGCAGCCGTCCTCAGGTGAAGAACATGTCTGTCGATAAAACGTCGTGAGAATTATTTTATTATGTTTTATTTTTATTATTTTATTACTTCCCTTCTACGTGACTTTACCGAAAGAACCAAGAAGAAGACATTTGGGCAATGGCAAGGAAACCAACACATTTTTTTCTTTTTTTTTGCCAGGTAAGGCCCCCACTGAGCTACATAAATCTTGTTGCAAAAGCGACCTGGCCATCGCAAATGACAGCTCAACGAATGTGGCTTATCACGCGGAAATGTACAGCAGCCAAACACTCTAAACGCCGCGTGGTGTTGATTCTAAGTGAGGAGAGACAAAACTGGAGGACCCGGAGAAAAATGCACGCGACCACGGGGAGAGAGACACGCAAACTCCATATATACATGGAGTCAGGGTCGGGATAGAACCCACGAATCTGCTGCGTACCAGGCGAGGGAGTTAACATCTCGCCACGCGGCACCCGTTTGCTCACCACGATTACGCTTGCGTATCCGGGAAAGCAAGAATTACGGAACACAGAACCCAACCATTCTGACAACAAAGCAACCACTGAGCTGGCAAACAATATGTGCTCATTATGTATCGCGGTTATGCATAAGGAATGAAAGAGCAGCAGCGGCGATGATAACGATCTTGCGGAATTGAGGTTGAATTCACCGTTGTGCGTGGCTTGCTGCTGTGCTCCGCCAGTTGTGCTCGCAGCGTTCTGTGCCCAGGCTCTGCAACAACAACAACAACAACAAAAATCAGCGACTCCCGCGGATCGCTCGACAAACAATGAAGTCAACTTTGCACGCCGCGCTGCACATCGCCGCGTAAAACGGCGTGCATCGCATCGTCGCTTTCAACAGAGAGGAACCCACTCGGCCGATAGCCCCCGGGTGGCGGCGGAATGCAAAAATACCCAGTCATTAACATTGAGGTCTATGGGAGGATTTAACATTGAAGTATATGGAAAGATTTAACATTGAAGTCTATGGGATGATTTAACATTGAAGTATATGGCAAGATTTAACATTGAAGTATATGGGAGGATTTAACATTGAAGTATATGGGAAGATTTAACATTGAAGTCTATGGGAGGATTTAACATTGAAGTCGATGGGAGGATTTAACATTGAAGTCTATGGGAGCCATACAAAGGAAGACGAAGAACATTGATAACATTGCTATATTTGCAGAGTATACAGAGCGATAGGAGCAGTTATAGTACGCTGAATTTACCCTGTTTCTTGAAGAAAGGGCCATGCCATTTGACAGCCTATGAACACGACCACAAATCTGCTGACCATTCTGTTCGGGTGAGTAGCTCTATGAATCCGACTACCACCCCGCCACTGAATTGCCTTGCTCTGACCTCCTCTGTAAGCGGGGTTATAAAGGCCCCGCGTGGCCCTGTAGCGGCTGACCTATGTTCTGTTGACACAGGGAGGCGATTTTCTTTTCTTATCGAGAATTTGACAATGTTACATGCGGGGGAAGGGGACGACGACAACGTGTACGTACGTCACACGTTTGTGATTGTTATTTATTTAAATGTCTACGCTAATAATAAAACAAGGGAGGTTGCTCAACGTGCACTCGTCTCGTGCGTCAAACGGTGCCTTCGGATTGCATCGCACGCGGCCATGTCCCGTCGGGCGTGACCCAACAATCCATCGGGAAAGCAAAAAACAATTAAAAAAACACTGCCGGTCACAAAACGCCGCACGCTCTCGTCGTCGTCGCCATCTTCGTCACCACCACCATAATCGTCGTCGTCATAATAAACCATCAATCCAACTAACGACGCCCATTTTCGCCCCCGGATGACGGTGGGTTTCGTTGCGTTGATGGCGACACCGGCGTGACAGGTGGAGCCACCACGAGGAGGACCCAGGGGAAAATCCACGTGAGCACGGGGAGAGACACCGCAAAGTCCAAATATGCAAGAACAGCAGGCATCAGGGTCGTCTCACCCCCGTCAACCACATTTGCAACTTCATCGACTGGCCGATGCGCAGCTCTCCTACTTGCATTGAAAGTTCAGGACAAGCCATGGTACAAACTAAAGTTAACTTGTCTTTTATTTTACCAGGTAAGGTCCCACTGAGCCGCTATGTAGTAGCTCTTTTACAGAAGCGACGTGGCCTACCACAAATGACAGCTCAGCGAAGTGGCCTCTCAAGTGTAAATGTATAGTTGCAGCCGCATACTCTAAACCCAGTGACGTTCATTCTAAACGTGGAGGGAAAAACCGGGGGACCCAGAGAAAAATCCACGTGACCACGGGCAGAGAGAAAGAGACACGCAAACTCCAAATATACAGCAGAAGTCAGGGTCGGGATCGAACCCACGACTTCCTGCATACCAGAGGAGGTAGTTAACATCTCCTAGCCACCGTGATGATAATGAGAGAGAGAGATACGCAAACTCCAAATATACAGCAGGCGTCAGGGTCGGTATTGAACCCACGACCTTCTGCATACCAGGCGAGGTAGTTGACATCTCGCCAATCTTCACCATTTAATCAAGCCACTGTAGTCTGCGCTCTTTCTTCAACAGAGGAGGAAGAGCAAAACCACACAAACTATCTGCAGAAACCCTCTTCCTGGCAAGAAGACCCTGACATTGGCATCTAGCTCCTGAACATATTGCCACACGCAGGAATAGAAGAGAAACATCATCAACAGCTTTCACCAATCCACTGCTGGATGAAGGCCTCTCCTAAGTTATCACATCCCGTCAGGGTCTTGCAATGCCGTCATCTTTCTAGCTTCAAGTTCTCAGTTTTTATAATGTTCATTCTGGTCTACGGGAGATATATTTTGAGGACAGACACGCATGCCGTGTAACATAACCGTTCGAATATTTACTATTTAACCAATCACACATAGCTTCAGTACTTACAGCAGCCCTCTGTCAGGCCATGCCTCGTCAGTCATGGGAGTTGTATGACCTTGCTTCATCAAGCTGGCCAGTGCAGGTTGGTGAATTTGCCACTGATGTGAGTCGCGGTTGTACGTATGTTAAACTTCTTTCGCACCGTACGTAGCCAACTGTGCTAATTGGAGGTGCCGGGGAAAGACAACAAACTAAAGGCAAAAATCAGTTCTAAAGAAATGAATTGTCAATTTAGATGATTATTTAAAAGTGCATAGCTCCAATGGATTCCTAATATCGGAAGGAAGAGCGTGCCAAACTTGCCACAAGTGCAGCGCATTGCGGTGACCGCCTTTGTTCATTGACCAGCCAAGAGTAACTACAGCGAAGATGGCCGGAGTTCGCGTGATGAAACTGTCGTTATCAAACTGAGGTTGTGAACAACTGTGTCACCATCCCTCCCACCCCACCCCACCAATAGTGACAATGGCTCTCCAGCCGGGCGGTGGTGGCTTTGCACGTGGCCTGTGATCCAGCACTGTGGAGGGAGCAGCGAGGGCTGGCGGATCGCATCAAATGTTGTGTAACTCCCTACCCGTGAGCATCGAGGTGCCATAACCCTGGCTCGCCAAGAAAGAAAGCGGTAAAGCGAAAATGTGGACTCCACCTGTTCCGTTTGTGTGGGATAGAGCGTTGCCCCCTCGCACGTGGGAATGTCCTGGCTGCTCACGTTTCTTCCCACATGTATAAACACTCATTGATTGGCGTGATAACACCGCGATATCGAGAGAGGACTGCAGAGCATGGACAATTGTTGGTGCCAGTTCACATTAGCTGCGACCTTCCCGCTCGTCTGCGGTTCCATCTCATGCCTCTGAGTAATTATGTAATAAGAGCGAGCGAATAAATGTGCGGTGGTGGAACGTTACACGCATAAGTTATAGTCTTAAAATGTTTCAATTTCAAGGCACATGATATTGTTTGAAACTCGTGGGTTTTTTTTCCCGGCTTGCACCACTACTCTGCTGTGGTGGGGTTTTCTCTTCGTTAGCCGATTCGAGTCCACTCTGTTCACCTGGAATCTTCCAGACCGGGCCACCGCGGTGGTGAGATGTTAACTCCATCGCTTGATATACAGGAGGTCGTGGTGGGTTCGATTCCAACCCTGACGCCTGCTGTGTATTTGGAGTTTGCGTGTCTCTCTATCCCCGTGGTCGCGTGCAATGTTATCCGGGTCCTCCGGTTTTTATCTCCACATTTTGAATCAAGATCACGCGAGTTTTTGCCTGCTTTAAATGTCTCATGATGTGAAGCCCACTTCGTTGAGCTATCTTATGTGATAGCCAAATCGTGTCCGCAAAAAGCGATCGTTTTATTCGATTTTAGGATGGTGACAGCAACGTGGTCCCAGAAAGGTGATCGTTAGTGAGGGTACCAGGCTGAGGCATTGGTTCATGGCCAAGTTGTCGCTGGCGAGATTGCTTGTTGTCGTGTTAAGTTTGCTGTCCATCCCCCCCGTGCACTTCCGATTAGAACGGTTGGCTACGTACGGTTTAAGTTCTCCGAAACATACAGCACATCCGTGTGTATGTTGGAACTTATTTAATAAATAATGTATCACTAAGGCAGGGGAGCCACCGGCCCCAGGTGCGGTACATCACAAACACGTGGCGTGATAAACGCGGGGCGGGTGGGGGCAGTCGGGGCGGGGGGGGGGGCACTCAGGGTGGGGGGCGGGGGCACTTTGGGGGGGGGCGGTGCGGGAACTCGGGGCAGGGGGGGACTTGTGGCGGGGGGCGGGGGCACTCGGGGGGGCACTCGGGGCAGCGGGGGGCTCTCCCAGGTGATGGCCCGCAAGGGGGCGGTGTGGTTGGGCACCTTGGCGCTCACCACGAGGCCACCACTCCCCACGGTGACGCACACGACTCTCAAGACAGTTCTGCTCGTAGCTGCTCTGAAATGACCCATTGGCAAACCACCCCTATTGTCATCATTGTTATTATTTGGGTTAATAAAAACAATATCACTTCCGTTCTGTACACGTACATGTGATATTGAGCACGCCTGAGCTCAGAGACAAGTTATGCCTGAGTCAGGACTACCCCCCTCTTTCAATATTCTGGAATTCATCAGCAGTTCAGGCTTCCTGTACAACATTGCTCTTTGCACTGACAAGGACCGATCTCTTTGGGGGAGTGTTCTAACCAATGACATCGGATAAACAAGCAGCATTTCTCTAGCAAGCCTGACACTACTGATGAGAGCCAGACGAGTGAATCCTGTCAAATTGGTTGATTGGACTACACAATATTTGTTTCTGCTTATGTATTTATGTTGGACTTTTTTCGCACCGTGCTTTAATGGAAGATGCGGGGGAAGGTCAAACACAAAAATAAGTTCCAAATAAATGGTTTTCAATCTCGACGAGTGAAAAGTGCGTAGCACCATTGGCTTCCTAATATCGGAAGGCAGAGCGTTCCAGACTCTCGCAAAAGCACATCTGAAAGTGCGCAATGCGGTGTTCCGTGGCCGGCCAAAAGCCGCTGCTGTGAGGATGACCGGAGTCTGTGTGTTGGTTTATGGATTGCCACACAACTGAAGTCGATGTGTTCATTACGTCTATAGAATGTTCCACTGCAGTAAATTAGTTCTCTTTCTTTGTGGATGTTCACCCGGCGACCTCTGCGTGTCCATGGATGTCGACATTGTGCGTGCGCCCATGCATATGGGATGCAGAGATCAAAACCCCAGGCGTTGTCCTTTTATAGAGGTGGAAAGAGTGGTTGCACTGTGAACTCCTCGTGCGTGGCTCGCGATCATTGCACGCAGAGAGCACTTAGAGAGAGCATGGGCCACGTGCTGCTGTGGTCATGACCTTGTGTTCCCCCTTTCTCCCCCCCCACCACCCCTGCTCCCTCCACTACATTTCTTAAGTCCTTTATCCCTCACCTTCTCCTTCCCATATAAAAGTACAACACGCACCCCGCTTATGCAGTCACCACTCGGTGGGGCAGCAGCGAGCCCAACCTCCCCCTTCTCTAAACGCAAGGTGCAGTCTGTCCTCCTATAACGCGCTAGTAGCTGCGTTCCTGAAGAACACCGCGTTATGGAAATATCACGTTATAATAAAAATATAACATAGCATGAAGCAGAGCCCGTGATAACACGTGAGGTACGTAACGCGGGCCGAACAAAGACTGAGGTGCGTGGTAAGTGTGTAGAAGCATCCAGCAGCATCCCACTGCCTTGTGTGATGCTACGCCGAGGCAGCCGCACAACCACTTATTCCTACTTATGCGACGTATTTCTGTTCACTCGATCGCGTTCTATCCAATTCGCATTCCGCGTTATAAAAAAAAATGCGTTCCCTAATACATTCATCATCGTGTTATATCCAATTCGCGTTATGCTAATCACACGCGGCGCGATAGGGAGAATGGACTCTACACGGCGTTTGGGACATCTGTCCACGGAGTGTGTGTAGCCCGCCCCATCCTACTAAGAAATAAC